ACCACTGAGCCATTGTTTCATGCCTTAACTATTCACCTTATTCTTCGCTGATGAGCGGGCACAGCCATCTGAATCTTTTTGGCTCGAGACTTCCGGTCTCATTCACTTCCATTCATTTTTAGACATTAAAAACTGCTTGTTTCGCTGTTTGATGTTGCAAACTGATACTTCCTTATTATATTCTTCTACTTGGTCTATATAGTCATGCAAACATTTGTTCGTAGAGCAAGTAGTTTGACCGTTTTATGCCGTTTGTTATTCCTTGTCATTTCTCCCATAGACGACTGAATCGGAAAAATCGCGAAAAATCGCGAAAACAGGCGCACTTCCGCATTTTAGAATAAGGTCAATATCATATATTTTGTATGATAAATTACTAAATATTTTTTTTCGGGTTGTTTTATAATTGAATTATAAGGTCATTTGAACTGTATTATAATAGGCTTCATTACAACGTATTTGGACTATCAGGAGTGATTCTGGAATGTAGCTAAATATCGTGGAATACTTCAATAGTCACAAACTTTAAATGTTAGTAAAAATCTCATGTGATCTGCTGGGTCATGACTGTGTCCTCTGAAGCATCTTATTGCTCTCAGCAGATTAGGAAGAGAATGGCTTTTTATAATCCAGATTTAAAATAATGGCTTTATGGTTCTGTTCATGTTAGAATGCCTTCTTACCAGGAATGATATTCAGCAGAATAATAAGTCTTCTCCTTTCTGAAAGTCATTATTTTAAATGAACACAATTAGTTGCACCTGGGAAAAGAAAGGGCGTTGTTGTAGTCAGTCACATTTATTTAACAGTTCTGCATTAAATTTGTCCTGCTGACAAGTCAAGACAAGCACAGAGACATTCATTCGGTCATTTTCCTTCGGCTTAGTCCCTTTATTCATCAGGGGTCGCCACAGCGGAATGAACCGCCAACTTATCCAGCATATGTTGTACACAGCGGATGCCCTTCCAGCTGCAACCCAGTACTGGGAAACACACTCATTCACACTCATACACTATGGCCAATTTAGTTTATTCAATTCACCTATAGCGCATGTCTTTGGACTTGTGGGGGACAACGGAGAACCCGAAGGAAACCCACGCCAACACAGGGAGAACATTAAAACTCCAGACAGAAATGCCAACTGACTCAGCCGGTACTCAAGCCAGCGACCTTCTTGCTGTGAGGCGACAGTGCTAACCACTGAGCCACTGTGTCGCTCAGCACAGAGACAAAAAAATCGAAACAAACTAGAATTAAAAATCTCTAAATAAAATTAGAGATTCTTAATCCTAAAGGAAAAGTTAACCCAAAAATAATATTCTGCCATTATTTATTCATCTTTCCAAACCTATTTTGAGTTTCTTTTTCTTTATGTTGAACACAAAAGAAGATATTTTGAAGATTGCAGGTTGCTGGCACCCATTGACTTCCATAGTTTTTTTTTTCTACTGTGGAAATCTCAGCGACCATAATTATTTTGTGTTCAACATTAAAAAAAACTATTAAAAGATTAAATCAACATCAGGAAGAGTAAATAATTAGATCATTTTTATTTTTGGGTGAATAATCCCTCTAGTAATGAAAATATGCAATATCCTCCATTATGAAAATGTATAATATTACTGAAAACTTAACAGTTCAACATAAAAAAGAAACTCAAAAAGATTTAAATCAACATTAGGGAGAGTAAATAATGAGGTAAATGTTATTTTTGGGTGAACAATCCCTCCAATAATTAATATTTGAAATATCCGTTACATTTTTACCCATGAATCATCTTTTGAACTGAGGAAGACCTATAGTAAACCGCATGGACCCAATATTCTCACAGAAATCAATCAAGTTTGGTGAAGGAAAAATCATGGTTTGGGACTGCATTCAGTATGGGGGTGTGCAAAAGATCTGCAGAGTTGATGGCAACATCAACAGCCTGAGGTATCAAGACATTTGTGCTGCCCATTACGTTACAAACCACAGGAGAGGGCAAATTCTTCAGCAGCATAGCGCTCCTTATACTTCCGCCTCCACATCAAAGATCCTGAAAGCAAAGAAGGTCAAGGTGCTCCAGGATTGGCCAGCCCAGTCACCAGACATGAACATTATTAAACATGTCTGGTGTTAAAATGAAGGAGGAGGCATTGAAGATGAATCCAAAGAATCTTGATGAACATCTTGGAGTCCTGCAAGAACGCTTTCTTTGCCATCCCAGATGACTTTATTAATAACTAGTTTGAGTCATTGCAAAGATGTATGGATGCAGTCTTCCGAGCTAATGGAAGTCATACACAATATTCATTCTGTTTCCACTGCACCATGACTTTATATTCTATACTGTACATTATTTCTGATAAGTGACAATACTTTTGTTTAAGCAAAGTCAGACCTTACTCTCTCAATTAAATATAAAAAAAGGCATGATCATATTTTATTTTGTTAAAATAAGCGTAATCTAGAAGCCTTTACCTTTCATATAAGCCACCTCTGAAACCAAATGATCAACTAGAAGTCAAGTTCTTATTTGTTGTTCCTCAAACTTGAATAGGCGACAAGACTTTTGTCAGGTAGTATATATTAATCATACACATTATTATCAGTAAATATAAATTATGAAAATACATGAGTGTTCCTGTTAGAGTGGATGTATTTAGATGTTTATTTTTGAGGCATTTTTGCGGCAAGCAGCAGTCACAAGGTCATTGTGTCGCTCAAAGCATCTTATATTAGCTGGTGTGAATCCATTTATAAAAACTTCATGTTTTGCTATATAGACAATATAAACCGTGCAGAAATGCAGCATAGCACTGTTCATGCATCCCGACATCATTTGTTCTTTTATGTTGTAGTATCAAATCCATTAATCTCTCACTCACTGCTTTCATATATGGATCAGGTTTGTAAGCCCAGAACCAGCTCTGCCTGCACGGGTCAGATTACTGTGTCATTCTGGGATTCTCTTTCCCCTCTCTTTTGTGGCAAATTGAAATCCTTGACATTTTAAAGCTTATAACAGAAGCAGCGTTCAAACTGTGTAAGACTATATTTCAACTTGATATACGTGAAATTAATGTGCAGCTGAAGATAAAATTATAATATTTTATTCTTTTGTCAAATGTTTCACACGTTTAACTTAGAACATTTTTAAACATAATAATCATAAAAATGCATTTGTGTAAACAGTATATAATATTTTACTAGTTATTTTGCAAGATACTATTAATCAACATAAGGTGCAATTTAAAGTGCAATTTAAAGGCTTAATTAAGCTTAATAAACCAAGCAATTTATGTTAATTAGGCAAGTCATTAGAGAGCATTGATTTGTTCTGTAGCCAATCAAAAAATCTATATATTTCTTAAGGGGTCTAATAATATTGATAATTGATAAAAAATCATGTTTAAAAACTAAAAACTGCTTTTATTCTAGCAAAACTAAAAGAAATAAGACTTTCTTCAGAAGGAAAAAATATATTAGGAAACACTGTAAAAATATCCTTGCTCTGTTAGACATCACTTGGGAAATATTTGAAGAAATGTGATTAAATTAAATCATTTTACCTTCAACTGTATATTTTTATGTATGTACGGGGAAAGATTACTTGATTGGGGATTTCTGGTATGTTAAAAATCAATATAAATATGTTAAATACTTTTGAAATCCTTTGAACATCAAAAAACAGGGAAAAATACACAATGGTTAATAATAATAATAATAATATTAATAATAAAAAAGTTGCAACTTTCCCTATTTGACTGACGCTGAAGGCTGGAGAAGTTGTGCAATGGAGAAATAAATAGAATTTTAGAAATATGCGGTAATTGGTAAAACTAGTTTAGGTCATAATTCATGCTATTAAGTACTGGCTTATTACTTGCCTATTATTAAGGTATTATTAAGATATGATCCTTATCCCTAATCCTGCAAAGGATTGTTAATACCGTGAATTGTGACTAAAACTAAGTTGTTACCATACATAGCAATATCACATACCTGTATATCGGCACTGGTTGGAGGCCTGCATTGTCTTAGTATTCCACCAGTGACGATATACCGTTATATCGCACTGTTACGAGTGTGATATTGCTTTTTTACAACAGTTCGACGGCATAATCATGTATATAAAAAAGAAAATCAGAGAGTCTCAAAACTCTTTGTATGAGGAACTACTTTCTTCTGCCATTCCTTCACATCTGCTGTTGATGGTCTGAACGTCACCTTAGAGCTAGTGTTTGAATGATTCTCGAGCGTAATATCTAAAGTGAAGACAAAACAGGTGATTTTGCTCACATTTTAAGATTATAAAGCTGAGCGACATGAAATTCCATCAGTCTACAGAGTTTTTCCAGTATTTTTCTGTTGCAATCAGGAGATCACAATATTACTATGGTATAACTACAGCACTACAACTACAACATACAAAAGAGAGGGATTGACTTAGAAAGTTATTTATTTGTTTTTTAATGATTTGATCAGCTGTAGCTTGAAATTGCGCTGTTTTTCTCTTATTATGTGCTCTCTGTCTCCATCTTATGGACGAACATCATTAACAGTCTTTGCTTTGCTTTCACAGGCTAATGGCCGCTGATGCACTGTCTCTCAGAAATTATAAATATTTAAAAATATGCACTATCCTTATAAATAAACTGCATAGTTGCAATCTAAACTACTACATTCTCGACTAAAAAAGCCTCAAAAGTACATTATGTTGTCCAACAGCTGCAATATTTATCTTTAGCTTGTTGGTGTATGTGGGCGGAGTAATACACAAGGGTAAAGAGGCTGGACAAGTGCTGTTATTTGCAGAATATCACATGCCAACAGCCAAATTCTAGAACCAGACATAACTGTTGTATAAAGTCTACTAGAAAAAGTGTTTTTAAGATATAATATTTAGTAATTTTCCATGTTTTGAATCAAATAAATGCAGTACTCATTTACATATTTATATTTCGAATTACTTTTTGTAAAATTGATATATCACAGCAGTTTGTGTCTCTTTTAGGGTGATAAATGCCGGGAAGAGCATGCTGAATGAAGACCAGGCAGCCTGCGAGGTGCTGTACGTGAGGAAGATGAGCAGCAAACAACAGCGCTGCTCCATGTTACTGGAGGAAAGCGGGGTAAGACAGTCTTTGTTTTGTAAAAAGTTTTGTAACTGTCGTTAATTTAGTTTGTCTCAGAATTGTGAACTCTGCAACAACACCAAACTTTTGAAATCAATAGTTCTTGAGATCAATATTTAGAAACTCGGTGCAACCGATCTATATATGCATTTTAATATAACTGTAGTGGGTCAATTGCACTGGGCACAACTGGTCTCAGGTAAGATTATAAAAGATTTAGCTTGCAGAGGGAGCTGACCCTGGAGATCCCAGACTCAGACATCTGTTGCGGGAGAGCAGTAATTTAAAATCTAATCTATATTTAAAGGAAATCCAGATATAATTTACAGGACTGCCATTTTAAAAAAAACCCTAACCCTAAAGATCAGGACTATGGGCCGGTATAAGATTCTAACAGTATGATAACCCTGGATAAAAATATCAGGGTGTTGTGATTACTGCATAAGCCATCAAATGAAATCAGGGACATGTAATGTAGAGAACTGAAAACATGGATTAATAAATACTGGCTACATTTTCAATCAGTAGCTTAAGTTTATCACACAAGATGCCAGCACTCTGTCGTTCTGTCGATTTGCCCTACCTTGTCAGATTGTCTTACTTCCTACTCAAAAAGTAGGTAGCACATTTTGATGACACAATAGGCTAGCCATCAGATTTTGCTACTAGTGTAAATTGTAATATGGAGTAGTGTGATATGAAGCTGTAACATCATTCTAACTAACCCCTAACCCCAACCTCAGAAACATTCAAATACAGTGTTGGTAGCATAATCTGATGGGCAGGATAAAATGTCAGGACACCGGACCATTGTTTGTTTCACATTTGGAGAGATTTATCAACAACAGTACTACTGAAGACGTCAATAGTGTTGACGTATTGTGGTGATAAGAACGTGTATAAGAGATATAATGGATGATATGACTCTTAAGTTTGATATACTGTAAAATTTGTATAAAAAGGTGTCTGGCACAAGCCTCTCCACAGCTACAGAGAAGGCTCGGCTGAGCGAAAAAAATACTTCACTGCATCACTATTTTTGTTAAATAGATTTTTGTACCTTAATTGGGTTCCAGATGCAGTTTATAAACTTGAAGCGGAGTTGAAGCGGAGTTTGATCGGGATATTCCATTACGCTGCATTTTTGACGTTTGCAATCGGGTGTCTCTTCTTCTGTCGCAACGTTAGCTCTGTTAGCGCGGTAATTTAGACAATAGACTGTTGACAGAGTAACGTTAACGTTCGTTTATAAAGGTGAAAACGATGCTTGTGCAGTTGTGTCAAATAGTATGCACTTATGGGAGTTATATGGTACGTCTAAATTACTGTCTTTTGCAGACAGCAAGATATATGCTATAGGCTAGTTAACCTTAGCATAGCTTCCCGTCACTTTTTATTACCTTGAAACTCCTCAAATACATTTGGGCACCCAGAAAAAGAGTGAAAAAGAGCCAAACCATCAACACAGCCACATTCTGCCCCAGCAAGTCAGTTTCAAACATAAAAAATGTAAAAAAAACAAATAAACTTTGTGTCTGTTTTGTGGCAGGCAGATGACAAAAGCAGGGCTGTATCTTTTAGTATTATATAGAATACTTTTGTTCTGCCAGATCTCCCAGGCAGGGTTTTATTTAGATTTATTTAGTTAATTTTAGTTTTTGGAATTCTGTCCATTGGAAAGAAGTTCTTTCAGAAGAAGAACAGTTTTTTTGAAGTATTATTTGTGTTTATTCTGTCTATTCAGTGTCAAGAATGGTTGTGGTGGGGTTCATAATATTCATAATGGTATTTTATTAGTTGTTGGTTTAACCATGGATGAGATAATGGCTTCTACGTTATTTTCTTTTCAATGACATTTCTTGTCACATGTTCAAAAACAACAACCAACATTGCATATCTATAATTTATATAATGGGTATAATTAAACAATACTTTAACTATAATGTAAATTAGAAATGTAATAGAAAAAATATATATTTTTGCGCCATTTTGAATTTTTACTCGAATACAAATACAAATACTTTTCCCCCCTTAACAAATACAAATACAAATACCGGCTGCTCCACACATCCCTAATATATATATATATATATATATATATATATATATATATATATATATATATATATATATATATATATATATTGTGATACAGTAGGATATAGCGCTTGAACTCTGAAGCCGCAAAGCGTGATGTTACACTTAACAAGCAGATAGATCTTACAAGTGGATAGTTCTGGTTCCTGTTCTAGATGTCGATTGGCTATTAAAGGTTGTAGCTTTATAGTGAAGCAGTTACTCAAAACTGAATCCAATATACAACAGCCTTAGTGCGCAGATCTAGAGTGAAATACTGTTGAATCTGAAATATTAGCCCTCCTGAATTATTACCCCCCCCTGTATATTATTTCCCCAATTTCTGTTTAACGGAAAGAAGATTTTTTTTCAACACATTTCTAAACATAATAGTTTTAATAACTAATTTCAACAAAGGCTCATTCTGAAAACATACTCCTATATACATTTCTGTAGATTGCGAATTATGTAGCCCGAAGTACGTACCGTATGGCTGCATTTCATTTTTAAAATGGATGCTACGGGGCAATATAACGCTGTTCCTTTTTCGCACTTACCAACTGACTGCTTACCTCCGCATGGACAGCTTTCTCACTGTTACCAGTTTGATCAGTGGCTCGCAATGTACGTCGGTTGACTTGAGACTCAAAGAGAGGAGTTGATCATGTCGAAGGGGTTCGAGTCCAGTGAAGAAAGGTTCCAGAAAACAGAATCCAAAAAATAAAATAAAGAAGTAAGATGAGAACGTGGTAAAATCTGAAAACATGGTAAAAATCAGACGAGGGCTTTTTTTTTTCTGGATTGCTTTTTTAAATTGTCTGTTGGGTTTAGGGACACGGGTCGGCAGGTCAATCTGTGCTTTTGAAAACACTATTGGTTGGGTTATGGAAAGAGGAGGGTGGGTCAGTCGATCGGCCAGTCAGTCATTCAGTCAGTTGACACCGGTCTCTGGTGGATTTATGTGAGAACAGCATGCAAGAATGGCACTCACAAGAAATATTTGAGATCTTAAAAAGCATCTGGTTGGATTCTCCAGAAATGTATATAGGGGTACGTTTTCAGAATGAGCCTGGGTTGACTAATTTCTAATTTCTTTTGTCTTTGCTATGATGACATAATATTTTTCTAAACATATTTTTTTTTAAGATACTAGTATTTACCTGTAAGTACAAATTTAAAAAGTACAATAGGCAAGTTAGATTAATTAGGCAAGTCGTTGTATAACAGGTTTGTTCTGTAGGCAATCGAAAAACATATTGCCAGGGAAGCTAATAATATTCACCTTAAAAATATTTTTTTAAATAATAAAAACTGCTTTTATTCTTGCCAAAATAAAACAAATAAGACTTTCTCCAGAAAACAAAATATTGTAGGAAATACTGTGAGAAATTCCTTGCTCTGTTAAACATCATTTAGGAAATATTTCAAAACAAACAAACAAAAACTCTCAGGAGGGTCAATTAATTTGCCTTCAACTCTAAATAAAGCAAGTTTCCAGCACAAGCTGCCTTTTGGGTCTTGGTGAAGTGAATGCTGAAGTGAAACTGTGCGAGTTTTGATCATGTGGTCCAGTGAGTGCTATAGTGATTTCACCTATTCTGACCTTTAAAGTGTCTGTTTGTACATACATGGGCAGTGGGCTACAGTGGTCTGATCTGCAGTCTGAGCCTTGTATCCTATTCATCTTACCCCAAAATGACACGTGTAATCCAAAGTGGAAAGCTGTTCAGGTCTGATTGATTAAAGCGTCTCCTCCAGTAACATTGCATCGACAACTAAATAAGTAGGATTGTGGCATCTGTTCAAAGGGAGGCTTTAGTATTGTGTGGTCGGATGTTATTCTGTATTTATCCTTCATTTACATTGACCTCTCGCTGCCCTTCTCACTGATCTTCAAGCATCACATATGTTTCTCTTAAAGTGGGATTGGACAAATGAACAACAGAAACAAATAAGACAGAAGAATTTTTAAAAATAAAATGTATAGAACTAGATTTGTACAGGGTGTTTTAGAAGAAAATGTTTGTGGGAGGTTGCCAGGGTGTTGCTATGCCGTTGTCATGGTTTTCAGAGTTTATTTTAGCAAGTTGTGTTCTAAACTGCTGTGCTTACCAAATTATTGCACTGCGTTTGTTATAATGTTGTGCACAGTTGCCAGGGTGTTGCCATGCAGTAAATAATGTGTTGTAAATGTTTTTAAGCAATTTCTGTGGTTGCCAGGGGTTGCTTTGCAGTTACTAAGGTGTTGTGTTATTTTTAGTATTATGTTCTGTGGTTGCCAGGGTGTTGCTATGCAGTTACTAAGGTGTTGTTTGTAGCATGGTGTTCTGTGGTTGTCAGGGTTTTGCTATGCAGTTACTAATGTAATGTTTTTAGCATGGTGTTCTGTGGTTGCCAGGGTGTTGCTATGCAGTTACTAAGGTGTTGTTTTTAGTATGGTGTTCTGTGGTTGCCAGGGTGTTGCTATGCAGTTACTAAGGTGTTGTTTTTAGCATGGTGTTCTGTGGTTGCCAGGGTGTTGCTATGCAGTTACTAAGGTGTTGTTTTTAGCATGGTGTTCTGTGGTTGCCAGGGTGTTGATCTGCAGTTACTAAGGTGTTGTTTTTAGCATGGTGTTCTGTGGTTGCCAGGGTTTTGCTATGCAGTTACTAAGGTGTTGTTTTTAGCATGGTGTTCTGTGGTTGCCAGGGTGTTGCTATGCAGTTACTAAGGTGTTGTTTTTCGCATGGTGTTCTGTGGTTGCCAGGGTTTTGCTATGCAGTTACTAAGGTGTTGTTTTTAGCATGGTGTTCTGTGGTTGCCAGGGTGCTGCTATGCAGTTACTAAGGTGTTGTGTTTTTTAGCTTGGTGTTCTGAGGTTGCCAGGGTGTTGCAATGGTGTTACTAAGGTGTTGTATTTTTTGGAATGGTGTACTGTGGTT